GGTAACTAGTCGTAGTGTAGTAGTAGTACTAGTAGTAGTACTAGTAGTAGTACTAGTAGTAGTAGTAGTAGTAGTAGTAGTAGTAGGAGTAGGAGTAGGAGTAGGAGTAGGAGTAGGAGTAGTAGTAGTAGAAGTAGTAGTAGTAGTAGTAGTAGTAGTAGTAGTAGTAGTAGTAGTAGTGCCAACCATACTGTAGCAGTAGCAGTACCAGTAGCAGTAGTGCTAGTAGTGGCAGCAGTGGTGGTAGCAGTAGCGGTGGCAGTGGCAGTGACAAGTGGCAGTGTCACTGCCAGTGGCAGCGGCAGTAGTAATCGTAGTAATTAGTAGTAGCAGCAGTAGTAATACCTGTTGTTGTCGCTGTTCGTCTGTGTGAACTATTGACATTCATGCAACGTACTCTTCAATTCCCATGCCCAACTTGCTCTGTTCCCAGATCCGTGAAAACGTCAGGAGTGAGAGTCCGAGGCTCTGGCCCCTGGCCGCCGCAGCCTTACGGTTCAGGGTGTAGGGCTATAGGGTTTAGGGTTCAGGGTGTAGGGCTCAGGGACTTGACAGAGAAGGTTTGGGGTTTCAAGTTTTAGGGCTTTGCAGGTTCAGGGTTTAGGGCCTCGAGTTTTTTGCAATCAATCAGGCGCACAAGAACCAGTGTTGAATGGTTGGCAGAGTTGCGGGCGGGTGGGGAGGGGGGCGAGAACTATCTTCATTTGAAAGATGCGGGTCGTCATCAGAAATGCAGCAGCAGAATCACACGAGGTATTGCAGCAATGGGCAATGGGCAACACGGCAAATCATAGAGTACATGTTGCACCGAGTCACCGGGCGCTTAGACTAAGATTACCGATACGATTTACTACGGTAGAGAGCTGGGTTCCTGAAATCTCCGAAGCAACATCGTCTAGTCTCTGATATTCCATCGAAGCTCCCAAGACTATCTGACATGCAACACAAGCCCCCAAACCCTCCAAACTTCAACACCAAACCTGAACCCCCAAACCACAAACTCTAAACCCCAAGCCCTAAAACCCTAAACCCAAAGATGCACCGGGAGCCCGACCCATGCTCATTCCCATTCCCGTCTTCAGGCTCACATGAGTGGCCTTCCCCAGACATTCCACCATCCCTTAATTGAAGAACATACCCTTTCAGGGCTCCTCAAAGGGATCTAGACGGGCTTCTATAAGGGTACTATAAGAATTGCGGAACAGACCTTAAATCATAATAGGGTAAAGCCTAAACCCTAAACCCCAAAATCATGATAGGGATCCCGAAGATGGTTTAGGTATAATCCTTCATCCATTTGAGGGAGATTTGAAGGTCTGGGTCGCTGCCAGAGGAGGATTTGTTCACTCTGTCGAGATCTTACATGTAAGGGTTTAGGGTTTAGGGTTAAGGGGTTTAGGGTTCAGGGGATTAGGGTTTGGGGTTTCGGGGTACTCAAGCGCCTGTATTTGATGTCTTGCGGGTTTGCACAAAACTTTGGAAGGCCTTGCGCTGAGAGAGGGCTCAGAGTTAAATGGGGTTTCCAGCCTCGGAGCTGGCTTTCGCTTCACGTCCTCACACACCGAAGTCCTGAAATCTCCCTTAAAGTCGACCTGGTACAACATACATAGGCAATACCATCACAAATGCGATGGGAATCATAAACCCGAAACCTCCAACCTCCCCCTCCCTTCCTCCGCCCCCAGAATCCTGCAAGCACAGGGAATCAAAAAACCCTTTTGCCCCAAAAAGCGCAAAGCGCTCACAGACACACACACGCGCAGAGACACACGCACAGAGACAGAGTCACACGAAGACACAACCCAAGAATCCTGAAACCCTAAACCCTAAACCCGATGAAGAACCGACAGATCCAGAGCGCCCGACAGTGAAGGCCTAGGCCCTAAACCCTAAACCCTAAACCCTAAACCCTAAACCCTAAACCCTAAACCCTGAACCCTAAACCCAAACCTCTAAACCCTAAACCCTAGGCCTAGGCCTAGGCCTAGGTCTTGGTCTTAGCTTCGGATCGCCTTCAGCTTGCCGTCCGACAAGGCATGGACCTATGACTGCCAAGGGTCTTAGGGTATCGGATGTAGGGTTTAGGATTTAGGGTTTAGGATTTAGGCTTTAGGATTTAGGGTTTAGGGTTTAGGATATAGGACTTAGGGTTAAGGATTTATGGTTTAGGGTTTTAGGATTCAGGGTTCAGGGTTTGGTCTAAAGCTCATGGCGGAGTTTGCGCTTGATGTTTAGGGTTCACTGTGCTTTGGGGGGTTTGGGGGGGATCTGTACGCGGTCTTTCTTTCAGCCCTTCTGATAAAAGCGTTCGGATTGGACAACCCTAAACCCTAAACCCTAAGCCCTAAACCTTAAACCCAGATATAGGGCTCGGTAGCGAGAGCCTAAAGCTGCAACCCGAAGCCCGAAAATCCTATGGCAACCCGCCGACTTAGTAACCTTAGAAACCTCATTTACGGTAACCCGTGCTACTGTAAGCCTTACTGTATGGTAACTCCTCCTCTTCTTCGTGGTATTATTAGAAGATATATTACCCTAAAGCCTAAACCCTGTTAACCCTAAACCCTAAACCCTAAACCCTAAACCCTGCTAATTGTTATACTTATTTTTGTTACCCAGAAAACACAAGCCCGTAAACTCCACAGACCTTCCAAGTCCCGGCAAAGTTCTGGGATTTGTTACCCCATGGCCCGAGGATCCGAACAACTGCCAAATATAGGGGCCTAGATAATAACCAATACTATTTTTTTTTTTTTTTTNNTATACTATAGCTACAAGAAGGAACCCCCAAAATATAGCTGCCTCTCCTCTCTCTCTCCGTCCATGCAAAGGTTTATGTTCAATATCATACACACATGTGCATATCTATTTATCGAAAACTAAAAAGGCCTATACTCATCATATGTACATAGAGTCCTTCAAAGAGTCCCCCCTCCTCCCCCTCCCACGCCCCGCCCGTCAAAGGAAACCATTAAGCAACACTGGGCCCCTCGCATGGCAGGAGATGGTTCTTCCGATGAGATTCGTCCCGATGGCCTGCAGTGGATCCCTGCAACCCTGCTTTCTTCGGCCTCGTCTTGGCACAAGGGTTCCTGACCCTAGAAGCGGGTTTAGAGTCTGGGTTTCTGGGGCTTTGGATTCAGGATTTTACGGTTCAGGATTTAGGATTCAATTTGTTTATCAGGAAGGCATACTGCTTACGATAACATCCCTATGGTGCTCCCTTACACTGATGATCCTGATGACCGTTGCGAGTGTCTCACTTGACATCATCGGAGCAGCGACAGCCAGAGGGCTGAACATCTACAAGTCTGACGACAACAGTCGTGAGAGTGCCGGACATGCAGACCAGAGTCGGCACCGTGACCAACCAGACCACGGTGGCCTTAATCTTCTGCTTGGGGAGAAACAGACCTACAAACAAACGCCAACAAGTACAACTTTCACCGTTGACCATCTGAACAAACTGAGGCCCTGCACAGAAACAGTCCTTGATGCTCCCCCCTTCACCTCCAGCCTCACCCGGAGAAGACCCTAAACCCTAAACCCTTAAACCCTTAACCCATTGAGTCGCAGATCTTCAACCTTATGCCCGAAGTCGTTAGTGCTGACACCATGGTTTCGACTTTGGGTTTAGGGGTTTAAGGGTTTAGGGTTCAGTTGTTTAGGGTTTCGACTTAGAGTTTAAGGGTTTAGGCCCTACTAGAGGAGAGCCCTGTCGCTGTCATCCTGCTTAAGCCAACCCATCAGCCTTTCATCCCACAAAACCCTCGAAACCACACTTAGGGTTTAGGGTTTAGGGTTTATAGGGTGTACTGTAGCATGGTATAGTATGTTGTGGAAATAGATTTTGGATACTGTTGTGACACACAAGAAACGCGCGCAAGATGCTGTTTACAGAATGGAAAACACAAAGACAAGACCCTAAACATTGAATGCTAGTCCGTCAACCAACCCTCGACCCTGAACCCTTAAGCCTAAAAACCTAGACCCCAAACACGAAACCTTAAAACCTACAGAAACTTTGTCGAGCCGCTACAGCAAGAGTATAAACCTTTTAGTCACCTTTTCTAGCAACCCTTAGCCCCTAAACCCTAAACCCTAAAACCCCTGAAACCCCTAAATCCTAAAACCATAAAACCTCTAAACCCTAAAACCTCTAAACCCTAAAACCCCTGAAACCCC